TTTAAGAGTTTTTTTTAAGTTTAGAACAATTATTTATTTTCCACAAAGCACCCTCACCTGCCTTCACCCTCATTTGCGCCACTCTGGGCCCTTGAGCAAGGCCCTCAACCCCCACCATCTGCTCCCCTGGGTGCCCTAGATAGCAGCTTTGTGCTCCACACAGGGAGCTGTGGTAGCTCGGTGGACTTGGCATAAAAATAGTTGCCAAGTCTTCGTGCGAGTTAGTTCGCTGTGGCGACCCCTGAAAACGAGAGCAGCTGAAAGAAGAAGTTTTAATAATCTAAATAGTTATCTGTCTGACAGTCAAAGTGTAAGTTTTTCCTGTAATTTCTGTCTTCAATATATTACATTTGATTCATGTTTGAGAGCAGTGCAGGTTACAATCAGAATGGTTTACATCTTTTTAAAGAGCTGTTTACACACAGTTTGCTGTCTGCTCAAGTCAAAACTGCTGACAGTCCTTTAAGAGACGTGTTTTCATAAACACATTCAGCTAAAGCTGATTGTTTAATTCCTTCATTATGCATCACACTTATTTGCTATTCTTTGTGTATTTTATGAATATTGTGAAATATCTGTGATCAAATGTTGCAGGATTTTTTTTTTCTCAATGTATTTTTTCCCCCTCAAACATTTGCTATAATTAAAACCCTACTTTTGCTTTTGTTTCATTTCTTTTGTTATATTGCAGCCTGCAAGTGGAGCGATAACCCCTGAAAATATCACCACGGAGCCAGAGCCGAGGTAGTGTGATGGGAAATGTCCCTCTGTCTACTTTTTATTTGGGTGTCATGCTTCTGATCAGGATGACTAACAGTCAGTCAGCTTTCTGTAGTGAAAGAGCAATCTCACATCCTTTGAATAAAAGCTAAACATTAAAAAAGCTGCTCTTTTAAATATGTAAAAACGAAGTTCTGTTCTAAGCGTTGTGTCAGTGTGACCTGATTTACTGTTTGTTTCTGCTCCTAGCTCCAGTCTGAGCTCAGCAACAGCAGAAACAAACAAAGGCTTCCAGGAATATTCCATCAAACAAGATAATATCAGGTACAATATGAACATTTATACTTTTAAAATCTATCAACATTTATTTTTAGATGTTTAAAGTTTTGAATTTAGCTTAACGTTCTTTTTAATCTAACAGAAAAGACGTGTTTATGTGGATTTTAAGGTTTATGTTAAGTTCGTTGTGTGTTGTAAAGTACTGTTTTCTGTGCAGCATAGCTCCAAATACTAACATTTATTTTGTTACAGCAGTAGCATGAACACAGAAACTGGTTAACTTGTAAAAGCACCCGTGTCCCTTCCTGTCTTCTAGTTCACGCCTGAACCATCTGAAGATCTTTGCCTGTGAGTTCTGTCATAAGATCTTCAAGTTCAGACACTCGCTGGTTTCCCACCTCAGGACTCACACTCAGGAGAAACCTTTTCACTGTCCGCACTGTGACTACGCTTCAGCCATCAAAGGTAAGCCTTGAATTGGGGGACTAAATTAAAAAACATTTTGAGTAGCAGTTAATTTTGAAAGTGAAACAGACTTATCGAAGATGTTCTCTTCAAAGCCAACCTGAATGTTCACTTAAGGAAGCACACAGGAGAGAAGTTCAGCTGTGAACACTGTTCATTCAGCTGCCTCAGCCCGGGACACCTCAAGGTGCTTGAACTTTTTTGTAACGCTTTGAATTAAAAGCTGCTGATAAAATGTGAAAGAATGATGATGGCTTTGCCGGAGTCTATGTATTTGCTTGTCTGTCTGTTACTAAAATATCTCACGAGCTAGTGGACAAATTTTAATGCAACTTTCAGAAAGTAATTATTAGTTGTACTGTGATTAACTTCGTCAGCCAATCCCATTAAAGTTGGGCGTCACAGTTAGGCAAGCTCACAAAACACAAAAATGGCTGTAATTCAGTCAGTTTTACATTTCTCCAAGGAATGCTATGTTTTTAATGTTTTTAAATGCATTTGTCTTTATATGGGTACTCGTCGAGCTATAGATTTTTAGGATTTTGTGTCATTGCACCAAAGAACAAGATGCACTTTAGCATTTTTGTATTTCTACATAAATAAAATAAATTGCAAAAAAAAAAGCTTCCTCTGGATGACTACAATTCTTTCCTTTTGTGGGAACCTTAGGTTCACATCGAGCGAGTCCATCAGAGAGTGAAGCAGCATTGCAGCTTCTGTGTGAAGAAGTACTCTGATGTGAAGAACTTACTGAAGCACATGGAGAAACATCACAACCTGAAAGAACCGGACGTTTTACAAAACTACCAGGAACTGAGGTTTGAACTTCCACAGCTGTGAGACTTAAAGCCACACCCATTTTCATAAAACAATTAAAAAGTACTAAAAGTGTTTCCACAGTAATGTTGTTTTCATGTTCCATTAATAGTGTGAATGTTTATGAAGCATTCACACTATTGTGATCCATTTTTCTTCCGTACACTTTCCAGCATCTTTCTCATTCCACAATTTTTGTGCTATTTCAACAAATCGTACATCAGCTCGTTCAGCTCTTTCAGGACAATCCTGCTATGACTTTTGGTATTGGTGCACCTTTAACTTTTAAAAAAATATTAAAGCCTTTTCTACCATTTTTTTTCTCATAGAAAATGAATTGAGCTCATTTTACATCCTTCATATTAGATCTGTTTACAACCTTTTACTGCTCCTTTCACATTTTGTTCTGGTTCAACTTCTTTCAGCTTCCTGCTGCAAATTTAAACTTTTTTTCAGCTACTTTCAGCTAATTTCAGCTGTTTTTCCGGCTGTTTTGTGCTCCTTTCAGATTCGTTCCGCTAACTACAACATTTTTGTGCTTCTTCTAGCTTCTTTTTGCTCCTTTCAGATGATTTCTGCAAGTTTCTACTTCTTCTGCTATTTCAGCTACTACTTAGCAGTTTTATGCTAATTTTAGCTTTTTCGGCTAATTCCACATTTTTTGCAATAATTTCAACTTTTTTCATCCTAATTCAGCAAAAATGTGCTCTCTCCACTTCTGGTAATTTAAGCTCCTGTCTGCCTTTTTTAGCTACTTTTCAGCTGTTTGTTTGATAATTTCAGCTTTTTTTTTTCCCAGATAATTTACACTTTTTTATGCTCATTTCTGCTTCTTTCAGCCTAATTGTACAAATGTGTACTTTCTGCTTTCTTTTTCTAATTTAAACTTGTTCTAACTTTTCAGCTACCTTTTTAGCATTTTTATCTAATTTCAGCTGTTTGCAGATCATGTTGATTTCTACTTTCAGCCTAATTAACTTCATTATGCTAATTTCAGCTTGATTCTGCTAGTTTCAGCTTTTTCTGTGCTTTCAGCTACTACTAAGCTCTTTTGATGCTAATTTTTTAGCTTTTTCTGCTAATTCTACATTTTGTTTAGCTCATTTCAGTTCTTTCTGCTTCCTTTGGGTAGCTGAGGCTTCTTCTTTCCTTTTCAGCTTTCTGTTTATTTTAAACTAATTTCATGTTTTTTTAAATACAATTTTAATTTCTGTGCTCATTTATGCTTATTTAAACCTCATCCATCCATCCATTATCTTTACCCGTTTATTCCATTTTGGTTCACGGGGGTCGCTGGTGCCCATGTCCAGCAGTCACTGTGCGAGGGGCGGGGGACACCCTGGACGGGTCGCAAGTCCATCACAGGGACACATGGAGACAAACGAGACAAACAACCATTCACTCTCTCACTCACACCTAGGGACAATTTAGTTACCAATCAGCCTAACATGCATGTTTTTGGTCTGTGGGAGGAAACCGGAGTACCCGGAGAAAACCCACGCATGCACGGAGAGAACATGCAAACTCCACCCAGAAAGGCCCCTGGACTGGGGTTTGAACCAGGGACCTGCTCGCTGAGAGGCAGCAGCTCTACCAGTTGCGCCACCGTGCTGCCCCTTATTTAAACCTAATTCAGCAAATATATATCCTTTCTGCTTTCTTCTGCTAATTTAGGCTTGTTCTTCCGTTTCAGCTACATTTCAGAATGTTTTTTTTTAATCTCATTTCATCTGTTTTTCATTAAGTTCTTCAGTAATAAGCATTTACACTGCACTTTCACAGGAAATGCGATTTCTCTAGTTACATAAGACATGCATTGATGGTTATCTGTAAGTTGCATACAGAAATAGCTCTTTTAACTTTTACATTTAAGAGGTTGGATTAGACCCTGAGTACAGTATCATGCTGTATATTTATCCACCTGTTACCCTCATACGTGTGTATTTTGACTCTGCCTGTATGTGTTATCCAGATTAAAGACTCGTCAGGGCCTCAGGCAGCTCCTGTATCACTGCACAACCTGTAACCGACACTTCAAGAACCAGCTGGGGCGGGAGCGCCACATGCTGATGCACAGTCCTCAGCCTCCCTTCGCCTGCTCGCTCTGCGACCACTCTGCGACCAAGATGGTCGCCCTTGCTGCCCACGTCAGGAAGCATCTCTTCCTGTATGCCTGCTGCGCATGTGACAGACAGCTGGTCAGCTCGCATCGACTGAGGAGTCACCTGGAGGAGTCTCACCCCGAGCTGGATCAAGAACGAGCCTTTGCAGACTGCATCAACATTAGCTACTGTCTGATCCCACCTGAGGGAAGGGGAGGGAGCGAAGAGGCGCAGAGACGAGAGATGGAAGAGCACAAGGAGGGTGAAGATGACAGAAATGATGCAGTAGGCAATAAGGAGCAGGACGGGGAGCAAAAGACGAAAGAACGAGACACATTGCTGGATGTATGTGGAGAAGAACACGTAACTGTGGGAGCAAGTGAAAAAGAAGACGACTTAAGAAATGAAGGTGCTCAGGATAGTTCTCAGAACAGATGTGAAGTGGCTGAAGTGGCAGCAGCTGAAGAGCAGTTAAACAAAACAAGTTCCTCTGCAGCTGAAAACACAAACACCTCCTTATCTACCAAGTGTCTTCACATCCTGCACCAGCAAGATGGGACTCAAGAAAACACACCTTCATCTTTTGGTCCTCAGGTGGACAACAAGCAGACTTCACTTTCAGAAAAGGCTATGGTAGTGACGAATCAAAACGATGTGGCTATAAAGTGCTTTAGTTCTGTTCATAATGTTCATCTTTGTCCTGATCTCTTGCTTTTCTCTTGCTACATGTTGCTACTTTTCCACCAGACTGCATTCCAGCAGGTGTTTTCATCCCTACAGAAGACTCAGCTTGATATGGACATGTTCCAGAGACTCAGAAAAATTTATGGAGACCTAGAATGTCAACACTGCGGTAAGATTTTGAGCTGCTTGTTTTTTTGTTTTTTTTAACAAATTAATTTCATTTTTGCTGTTTCTCCTCACATATTTCTGCTTTACAGGGAAGTTGTTCTGGTACAAAGTCCATTTTAATGTCCACGTTCGCACACACACCAAGGAGCACTTGCACTATTGTTCGAACTGCAGCTACTCTTCCATCACCAAAAGCTCCTTGAATCGGCACCAGATCCACAAGCACAGCGGCCTGCTGCTGCGCTGTTCTGTTCCTGACTGCAAATACACCACGCCTGATAAATACAAACTACAGGCCCACACGAAGACACACCACAGTCAGGTAAAGAGCATGAGGAGATTAATTTTAGTATACAAATATCTTTTTAATAGGCTGAAAATTCAGGTACATTTGACTATGATACACTGAGATTGTTCTTACTTTCCGATGAGCCTTTTTCTCATGCCATAGTCTGATGTTTATCTACAGGGGCGCAGTGCGACTTGTCCCGTCTGTCGGTGCAGTTTTCCTGAGCACAGATTAAAGTACCACATTAAATCATCCCACCCAGGTAAAGAACAACTATGTTGACATTTAATCACATTTGTTCGTTAAAATCAAATGTAAAACCGGTGATTATTCATACTTTCTCAATATATGCTATACGGTACTTTGACCTCTTTTTAAAGTCTGTTTTGTTTTTGTTTGTGTGGATCATTTTGGCAGGTAAAGTGACTGTGCAGGGAAAAAGACTAATGGTGCAGCGTGCAGAGAAGTGTCCCCACTGTGACTCCTACTTTCTAAAGAACAGCAGTGACTTTCAGCAGCACATCTGGGCACATCAAGGTGCAAACTCACCCTCTTTTTAATACCGTGAAGCTCACAGCACAACTGTACAACATCTGTAATGATTCAGTCATTTCTTTCTGATCTGAGCGTCCATCTGTCCCAGCCTCTTCTTTGTGCCATCAAAAGAAACCACACAATGATGTTGTTGAGGCAAACTACTGGTTAAGTTACAATAGTTTGTCTCTTTAACAAATCCAAATGTAATTTCCATTGTCCTCATTCATATCTTTCTGGGAGGTGACTAAGATCATTATATCTAGGCCGGAGCAGCTGTTCATTTTGCTTTTGAATGTTTTTGCCTCTCTTATCGAAGAGCAGTTTACCTTGAAGTTCCAGCTGTTCTCAGACTGCGATACATCAGCCTGCAAGCAAATGTCCTGCACAGATGTTCACGAATGTCTCAGAGGACAAAGAAAGTTAATTTGGTCTTTGCTGTTTTCACATAAAACCCAAAGAAAAGCTTGAAATTGATAATTTAATTCTTCAAACAAAATCCTTTGAACCATTTGATTTTAAGTGCCATCAATTAACACGATCCATCCATCTATCCATCCATCCATCCATCCATCTATCCATCCATCCATCCATCCATCCATCCATCCATCCATCCATCCATCCATCCATCCATCCATCCATCCATCCATCCATCCATCCATCCATCCATCCATCCATCCATCCATTATCTTCTGCTTGTTCCGAAGTCGGGTCGTGGGGGCAGCAGCTTGAGCAGGAAAACCCAGACATCTCTTTCCACAGCCATCTTTTCCAGTTCTTCTGGGAGGATTCCAAGGTGTTCCCAGGCCAACCGAGAGACAAAATCTCTCCAGTGTGTCCTGGCTCTTCCCAGTCGGACATGCCTGAAGCATCTCCCTAGGGAAGCGCCCAGGAAACATACTTACCAGATGCCAAAACCACCTCAACTGGCTCCTCTCGATGTGGAGGAGCAGTGGTTCTATTTTGAGTCTCTCCCAGATAACTGAACTTCTCACCCTGTCTATAGGGACTGAATAGTCCGTAACAACGGACCCCCATTCCCATACTCATAGAGCACCCCACACATTATACCCCGAGGAACACGGTCAAAAGCGTTCTCCAAGTCCACAAAACACATGTAGACTGGATGGGCAAACTCCCATGACCCCTCAAGGACTGTAGTGATGACAAAGAGCTGGTCCAGTGTTCCACGGCCAGGGCGGAGCTCACATTGTTCCTCCTGGACCTGATGTTCAACCAATGATTGGATGCGCTTCTCTAGTACCCCTGAATAGACTTTACCAGGGAGGCTAAGGAGAGTGATGCCCCTGTAATTGGAGCACACCCTCCAGTCCCCTTTTTGAAGTGGGTTACCACCACCCCAGTCTACCAGTCCAGTGGCACTGTCCCCTATGTCCACGCAATGTTGCAAAGGCGTGTCAACCAAGACAGCCCCACAACATCCAGAGCTTTAAGGAAATCAGGGTGAATCTCATCCAACCCCAGAGCCCTGCCGCCGCTCAGCTTTCTAACTACCTCAGCGACCTCAGCTGCAGTTATGGACAGACCAACCCCAAAGTCCCCCGACTCTTAACACAAGATATAAAAGAAAATTGCTTTTATGAAGTCGGTTTTTAAAGTACAGTCGTCCCTCGCTATATCGCGGTTCACTTTTTGCTGGTAAATCTTTTTTTATTTTATTTTGTGTGTACTGTACATGCTGTGCAGTACTGTACATTCATCTCATCATCTTCATCGCTAAAGTGTTTGAGCATATGCAGTGTTTATAAGAGAGTGGGAAAGGTTTGTTGGAGTACTGGAAGGGTTTATAAAGCCTTAAATAAATAAATATAATGCTGCTACTTGGTGGATTTTCCCCATCGCAGGGGTCTCTGGAACGTAACCCCCGTGATAGGCGAGGGATCACTGTATTGTATTCACGCACATTTGGTTTCTTATTTGTGTTAGTAAAGTTTCAGGTCATCAGTTCTATCTTTCTGTATGTGTTACTACCTGTAGGTTTGAAGCCATACATCTGCGGTGTCTGCAGCTACTCATGTCGCAATAGGAGCAACCTGAAGACTCACATGAACCGACACAACACGGAGAGTCATCATCTCTGCGATTTGTGTGGTAAAAAGTTCAAATCGAAACTCACCCTGAAAAGCCACAGGCTGAGCCACACAGATGAAGGTATGCAGAGTATGGCTCAATATGTGCTGGTCATGGAAGGGCGGGAAGTTAGCCATCTTAAATAGAAGGGCAATCATTTTGTTTTCATCCAGGTAAGAGGTTCCAGTGCTCTGAGTGTCACTTCACATCGGTGTTTAAACCATCATTGCTCAGACATATGGAGCAACATGCAAAATTTAAGGTAGGAATGCACACTTGCATAAACATGGCCTGTATGTATGTAAGGTGATCATAAACTTTACCTAATTTAATTTATTTAGTTTTGTAATTTTCTCTAATTTATACTGAAGCTGGAGCTGTCTCTTATTACATTTCCCATTTTGTTGAAGGTTCAAGGTGAATTTAATGTCATTCGCATCACATGTGGCACATGAGGTGGAATGAAATTGTCTACCCGAGGTCCCAGTTACACCCAAAAATAGCAAAAAAAAAAAGTATAAAAAGAAACAGTATATAAGGATCTAAGATATACGATAAACACTAATAATGTAAGATAATACGATGTATTAAACAGCAGCCTAAACATGTTACCTAAACAGTAAGAATAGCCTGAAAATTCCTCATGGTTTGCAGTTATTGGTGTACTACTCTCCTTGTGTGTGTGTTTGCAGCCGTTTCATTGTGCTCACTGCCACTACTCCTGTAATATCGCCGGTGCTCTGAAGCGACACTACAAAATGAAGCACCCAGATGAGACGTATGAGAACGCTGCGCCTGGACTGCCCAACTCTGAAACGCTGGAACAGCAAGGTCCTGACCCTCATTTACCCATTCATACTACACTCTACTAGATCTATACACAGAATAATCAGTGCTTTATCACATTCATACACTGATGGACACACATTGGAGGCAATGAGTGGTTCAGTGTCTTGCCCAGGGACACTTCATCATATGACTGGTGGAATCGAACCCCCAACTCTCCCATTGAAGGACGACTGCTCTAACCACTCAGCCACAGCCGCCTTGTTGAAACTGAGTAGTTTAACGTACTTTGCTAACAGAGTACTTTGCTCTCAGACTGCCGGTTTACACGCGGTTTCTAGAGTTTTCAAAAGTAGAATGGGAGGCAGAGCTTTCAGTTATCAACTTCAAGTAGGTTTTATTGTCTTTCACTACAGGTGGTACATGAGGTGGAATGAAATTGTGTACACAGGCTCCTCGAATCAGGCTCCTCGAGGCTCAGGCTAATCAGGCTCCTCTCTTGTGGAACCAACTTCCTGTTTCTGTCCGTGAGGCTGACACATTGTCCAGTTTTAAGATTAGGCTTAGGTATTTTATTTTTGATAAATCCTACAGTTAGAGTCAGCCTGGGTTTCCTGAGATAGTATCCCTTAGCTATGCTGATTTAGGCTTAGACTGCTGGAGGACAAATTGACCACATTTCTTCACTCTGCTGCTATCTTTACTTGCTCTACTCTACCTGTTTGTATTTGTAATTATTTCTATCTTAACATGTTTTTTTGTTTTTCTTCCAATAGAAGGTACAGTTGGACCTGTCATTCTTTGTTTGTCTGCTTCTCCTTCCTGTTCCTCTCAAACCCATCCTGTTAAAGCAGATGGCCGCTCGTCCCGAGCCTGGTTCTGCTCGAGGTTTCTTCCTGTTAAAAGGGAGTTTTTCCTTTCCACTGTTGCCTTTGTGCTTGCTGAGGAAGGGAGACTGAGACAAAGTGAAGATTCAACACAATGTGCTGGTTTCCTTAGATAGAGAACTTTACTAATTGGCTTTCTTATGCATGTGAATATTTTTGTTCAGTGCCCTGAGACGGCTTGCGTTCTGACTTGGTGCTATATAAATAAACTGAATTGAATTGTTTATCCAAAATAAATTCCACAGTTATCTGGTTCAAACACGTTCTGTAAGTCTAAGAACACAACCCCATCTATCTCCACTCTTGATCTCAGATATGTGGGGTACTTACATAAAAAAAACTTGTGCTCTGCCAAGCCTAACATAGCTTTTATGTGTATTTTCCCTGTATTCAGGTGCCCTAAAGTGTCCAGAGTGCGATTTTGTTTATGGAACAAAGTGGGAGTTAAACCGTCACCTGAAGAACAAACACAACCTGAAAGTGTTGGAAGCCAAATGGGAGGTAAATAACTTACGAACACACCGGAAACAAATCACCACTTTTATCGTCCATCGTTATATTTTATCAGTCAAAGGTCATTCATGCAAAAAGTTTCTCAGGATTCTTTACACAAAAATATTAAAAGCACTAAATGTTTCAGATACAAGATGGAAGAAATTAACAGTTTAGTTTTGTTTGAACATCTGTGCAGGTAGTTGAAGAAGCAGAGGCTCATTGTGTGTCTATGGAGAATGAGGAGCAGCTCACAAATACACCTGTAGCTGCCACAATGGACAGTGGTAACCTTAGCAACAATATGACACATACATTTTATTTTAAAGATCCTATTTTACTGCAGACTTTAAACTGTTACAGCAATTTTGTGTCATGTTTTTCCAGTAAATATCCAGCAGATGACTAAACTCAGCTCAGAGACTCACAGTGAAGTCGCTTCCTATGTTGCCATGTCTCCCAGCACTTTGGCTGTAGTACAACAGGTAAACAGTATTGCATCACTTTGTTGTCTTTAGCTAAAGGATGATTCAAATTAATTGTTGATGCACAATTGAAGTTACAGATGGCCGAAGAGCAGGAGGTCGGTGACTGTAGCGATCAGCTGTTGGTGGTGAATGTGGAGGGGGCTGTGGATGGAAACCAGGTGATGGTGATGGAGGAGGCAAGCGGCTTGGAGGCTCTGACGGTCCTCACCCAGGGAGAAAATGCGCACCACTATATTGTTTACATTTAAGAACAAACAATAGAGATCAATTAGGAGTGATCAAATTTTAAAATCATTGAGCCTGAAACAATAAAGATGTACAGGATGTCTGCATGTTATTATTATGACTTTACATCTTAAGATTTTTTTTCAGTCATTATTTTTTTCAACTTTGTTGTCTGAGATTTGTAGCATGTTTGATACAAAGTACATTCAAATAAAGTAATTTATACTGAAAGAAGCTCATTAACTCCAGACCCCTTTTTTATCAACATCCACCATTAATGAAAACTCAATCAAAATTACATTCAGTGCATGTACAACAAAAATGAAGAAAAAACAAAACAAATATTTTCCACTACAAGGATAATACAGGTATATCAGTCCATTACAAGAGTAATATATCAGAGCAGTGACTTTGATCATGTAGTTGATAATTTTACAATTTGTTTGCAAACTTCTCTCGGTAAAGCTGCTCTGCTGAAAAAGAAAGTAATCAATCAGAGGAGATTAGCTCATTGGTTCAATTCTGAGTTACATACTTGAAAACAAACATCTAGAAAGATGGAAACAAAATGGCGCTCCACTAACGTTGAGGAATCTTACTTATCTTGGAGAGAGATCCTGCTAACGTACAAAAAGCGCTCCGTAAAGCTATAACTTTATATAATTTGTCTTTGATGAGAATAAAAATAACCCCAGGTTCCTTTTCAGTACCATAGCTAGTCTAATGAAAAACCCTATCTCTGTTGATTCATGTATCCCTACAACTCTAAGCAGTGATGACTTCATGAGATTCTGCATAAATAAAATTATTTCAATTAGAAAAAAAAATCAAACCAACATGCCTAGTATCACCTCTGGTGCTGTGTCAGATGAGAGTGAGAGAACTTTAAAAATGTCTCTAGAACCTGATCTATGTTTGGACTGTTTTTGTTCTTTTGAGTGCTGTGAATTGTCAGAAATAATAGCTTCATCCAAACCATCCACTGGTCAGCGCCCTGAGACGACTTCTGTTGTGACTTGGTGCTATACAAACCGAATTGAATTGAAAATACAACAACTACAACAATATCAACTATTACTACTTCTGTTTCTACAGCTTCTAAAAAGCCCCAAAATAAAATGACAAAAAGAAATTCAACTAAGATAAATGCTGGTGCTCTAAACCCTCCCATTGTCCCTGGGCCAAAATAACCCCAGTGCAGCAGGAGGGTCAGACAGAGTTATCTGCTGTCCAAGTCCAATAGCAAAAAGCCCTAAAAGCCTCTAGCTGTGTTGTACATATGCTTTTTATAATCTCGAGTGATAATTATGCATACATAACACATGCATACTCTCCTCCTCCTTCATGTTTCAACGAAGACCAACTTTAAATTACATACTTGATTTGAATATGCATTAAGGATAGTGTTACAAATGCATGTTTCTGAGCAAGACACCTATCCCTAATTGCTCCCCGGGCGCTTATATAGCTGCCCACTGCTCCACATGGGTGTAGCCCAGGTGTGATGGGTTAAATGCAGAGAACCAATTCCGCCATTGTTTGGGAACATACAATGATGACAACACATGGCACTTACTACATGTCACTACGTGAGTGCAGCTACAGCGTGCACTCTCAGGACATTATTACATGCAGTGTTCCTTCAGTGTGGACTGAACTAGGCAAAAGGGTCTTCTGCTACTACGCTCCTGTTTCCTGGAATATCTTGCAAAAATATCTGAAGCTCTTGACTTTGACCTCTCCAAGTGGCTTCAAACAACTGCTAAGTTCAAGGCAAAAACCAACGCAGACACGTTCCTGTTTTTAGTATATCGATTTATAATGTAGCTGTTTATTTTTTTTTTTTACATACATTGCTCCCATTAATTTTTTTCTATTTACAGTATATTCAATTCAACCTTCATTTATACAGGTTAGTCTCATTGAGCCTGGAGGACTTATTTACAAGACAGACCTGTTTTTTTTAAACAAAGAATGATGACAACAGCAGACAATCTTAAAAGAAGGCATGTAAAAAAATTATGTAAAAAAAGCTACATTATAAAGCGATATAAAATACTCAAAACAGGAATGTATCTGCGTTGGTTTTTATGCTTTCTTTTAAGATTGTTTATTGTTGTCATCATTCTTTAGAAACAGGTCTCTCTTGTAAATGAGTCTTCCTTGCTCAATGAGACTAACCTGTATAAATAAAGATTTTAAAGTATTTCTGACAGAACACGGTACAATACCAGGTTCGTCCATGGGGTGGCGGTGGAGCGCTGACTGCTCGTTCACTTCACTTTGGACCGAAGAAGAAGAACTGGTGGGAAATTTAACATTGCGGGAAAGTCGGCTATCGCAACAAAAAGCACAGAATGGATCGTTATGTCTTGGTTATATCATTTTGCCAAGCTGCTGATCACTCCACGCATGATTTTAGATGTAAGTTTTAATGTAACAATTACCGTTTTTATTGGGTTAAAATTTTTAGTTTTGATTAAAAAAAAAAAAACTTCGTCGTTAGCTAGTGCAATATTCACGGTGACGTTAAATTATCGATGTTCTTTAAAAAAAAAAAAAAAGGCTTTTGTTGTATTAAGTTCAGTTTTATAACCACGTCGTGAAGGCTTTTTTCTAGTTTGTCTCGTTTTGATACAGGTTACCACCATGTTTCTAACTCTCACAACATTTAGCAACTTGACAGCAAAGTGTCAAAGTCTCTCACAGGATACAAATGTTTTGATTCACAAATAACAAAGTTTATAACTGAAGATTGGAAAGATCTGGAGACAGCATGCAGGCATACAGTACAAACACCACACATTATTAAAGCTAAAATGTTATCAAGGTGCATAATTTAGTGTAAGACGTGTTAAAAGGGGTTTACTTAAACAGAACGTGATGATTAAAAGTAAGAGTTTTAAAACTGTATAGAGCCTTTTTCAGAATACAAATCTTTGCAACAATAGTTTTTGGTTATAAGAAGTTAAACCTGTCAGCACTGTCTCATTGTTTGCAGGTTTGGAACCAGTTAAAAACATATACAGCAACCTTGTGGCCAGCTTGGCTCAGGAAACAGTAAAAGGGATTTCTTCATGTCCAGGTACGCTGCCCATCAGTTGCTGACGTTCTTGTACAAAGTCCCTGCTCTTGAACTTGCCCTCACCTGTGTTTGCTTCTTGTTTCCCAGCTGGCTCTCCGTGTGGCACGCTGACACCTCCAAGGTGGTGCTTTGCTGTTCAGGCTTGTCAAGGATCAGCACAGGTGAGAGCGTCTGAACATTAAGGACAACTTTGTGAAATACTTGTTCAAATATCATTTAAAAATGTGGTTTAGTGTAAAAACAAAATACCAAGATCTTACCATAATATAGATAAACTGGTTACACCTGGTTCACCAAATTAAGTTTACAAGAAATATAAGATTGAACAAACCAATTCAGCTGTCAAGTTTACATGTTTTCTATTTTTAATTACTGTTATTCTCTTACTTAGTTTGGTTTGTTTGTTATTCCCCAAGGAGCTACTATGCCTCATATGATATGTTAACAATAATCGATCCATCCATTATCTTTTACCCGCTTCTTCTTTTTCGGGTCATGGGGTCACTTGTGCCCATATCCAGCTATCACTGTGTGAGAGGTGGGGGACACTCTGGACATGTCTCCAGTCCATCACAGGGACAAAGAGACAAATGAGACAAACAACCATTCACTCTCTCACTCACACCTAGGGACAGTTTAGAGTTACCAATCAGTCTAACATGCATGTTTTTGGTCTGTGGGAGGAGACAAGAGTACCAGGAGAAAACCCACACATGCACGGAGAGAACATGCAGACTCCACCCAGAAAGACCCCCGGCCGGGATTTGGACCAGCAACCTTCTCACTGAGCAGAAACGGCTCTATCAACTGAGCCGCCGTGCTAACAATAAAACATGATTATTATTTAAATTTAAACTTTTTTAAAAATAATTTGTTTGATATGGGATTTATAAAAACAATCATTGTTCTCCATTCAAATAATTAGTCTATACAGTAGTTAAAGAAAAGTTTCATATTATTTATATATAAGGCACTTTCTGTGTAGTTTTGCAGCTCAGATTGGGAAGAACTGGGGACAAACCAGCAGAAGACTGACTCAGAGGAGGAGAGGCCGACTGCAGTCGAGCAGTGTCTCACTTCACTTCAAGAACAGGAGACCGTAAACCAAAATGAAGACCCCCTGGCACTGACAGAGTGAGTGCTGATAGTTTTTAATTTTTTTATATGTGTTAATTTTGATTTAATGCCAGTACGGATACATATTTTCTCTAAATTTATTTTTGATGATTTATTGAATTTTCTTTATAGTTGTACAAAGTAATTCTAGTGCTTTATGGTATTTGATTAAATAAGTATCAATAAAAAAGTGGTGTTAAAATGTAAGCAATATTGAAGACGTTATGTTTATCGTAAACTTTGTCCAACAGGCTGTTGGACGAGGCTGCAGAAGGACTTTATCTGCTGTCAGACAAGCTGCCACCTCCAGGTACGACTGATCGAACCACAGATCTTGTCCTTTATTCTTTCACTTTATTATAATATTAGTGATATTTATCAGAATATTACTTCTGTCCTAATATGGCTTTTACTTTTTAAAAAATAGTTTAAAAACAAAACTGTTGCCTTTTATTGAAATATCAAATCATATTGTTTTTCTTTGTGGTGTTAGAAGTCCATCACCCACCATTTCATATTTTATATGCAGAAAAAAATGACAGAGACATGACAAATAAATAAACGTTCTGTGACAAACGTCGAAAAGTAATGCGAACTGGTTTTAAAAACTGTTTTTGTGAGACGTCGGGCTGTTTCAGTCGCAGCCTCGGAAACGTCACTTCCATACGTGGGGTGTGACGTCGGGGTCCGATCATGAGAGACAGTTCTGTGGGAATACAGTGAAGGAGGGAGTTGGCACCCATCTGGGGCTGAGTGGTTAGAGCAGTCATGGGAGAGTTTGGGGGTTCGATTCCACCAGCAGTCACATGTTCAAGTGTCCCTGGGCAGGACACTGAACCCCTCATTGCCTCTGATGTGTGTAACAGCACTGATTACTCTCTACAGATTCAGATTAGCTTCCTATAGATCTAGTAGAGAAGAAGTGGTAGGGCGTTACGCCCGGGTGAGTTCACAGAGAGGCGCTGTGACTCCAGCTGGGATGGACGGACCCTCGTCTCACGGTCAAATCCATCAGCTATTGATTAAATCTGAAAGTTCCTTAGGAACTCTCAGGAAGACTTCAGTCAGAGATTCCACTCAGAAGTGGAGGACTCCATGAAAGACTGAAGAAGACCCCAGGAAGACTCTGGTCAAAGACTCAAGATGACTGAAGACTGAAGACTGAGAAGTTCCAGGAAGTGTGGACTCTTAAAGAGTTCTCACTTCCGGTCACTTCAGGACTTCCTGATTGGTTGAAAGAACCAAGAGGGGGTGGTTCTAGTGATGTCAGAGGGTCATTACAAGTCAAGAAAACAGCAGGAATGTTTTAGAAACTCCAGTACAGACAGGAGAAATGTTATGGCGAAATGAGAGGAAGCAGGTGCCAGTAGCTTCTTATTTACCGTCTGCTAGGTTTAAAAACAATCCACTCCGTTCTAATAACTTCTTTCTGACTTTCGACCGACATCACTACTCTCTCATTCAGACAGAAGATCAAAAATGCATAATTACTTTGTAAAATAGACATTTAACTTGATTTCTAATTTGAATGAGGATTTAAAAATCATCAATACTGTTTCACAGTTGATTTAAAATGAGTGGTTCACTTCAACATTTAGAAATGGTATGAACTAAACACACTTTTGATTTATCAAGATATTGTAAAATAGTAATGATAATATAAAAGAAGAGTGTTCTTTCAATTGATTACTTCAGGATACAATTAGAAAGTCTCTGGATGAGCTCATTTGTATTTCTGGATTCAAATCAATGAAATAACAGTTCCTGTCCCATGAAGGTCCTCAGAGGCAGGTTTTGGTCGGAGGCCTAGTTCACTACAAAAGTAAACTTAAAGCTGCAGTATTTAACTTTTCTTAAAAGAATATTTTTATAAAAATTCCTGGTACATATGTTTTTTTTTTTTTGTTTTTTTTTACATATTTGTTAAAACTGTCACTATGTTGTGACTACAGTATAAGGCAGATAATCTGTGAAAAGACTGAGCTCCAAGACTTGAGATCTTGGTCTCGGTACACTCTGGTCTTGGTCCTGACTTGGTCTCGGGTTAGGTGGTCTTGACTACAACACTTGTTTAAAGAGAGCTGTGATTAGTAGGAACAGTAGACTTTGTTTCATCATTCCAGTCTCTTCATTTATATTGAGAGACTCCACGATAAATCAACGGGTCTGAAGAATATTTTTGTTTGGTTTAGTAGATTTATTTATTGGACATATATCTTCTGTTTAACATGTATTAATTTAGGGTTTTATAAACTTTGAGCTTCAATTATGACAGCCGTTTTCAGAAAAAGATGTGATGAATTATTGATGGTAACTCTCTGGTTTTACTGGCCTAAGAACACAATTTAAGAACTGCTGTATAGTTTGCAGTCTTTACGATTGGACACAGTTTAAAGTGCAGTCTGAAACTGGTCATCAAGTCGGAGCGTCCTTCAACTCCACAGGGTTTAATAACAAACACTAGCACTAATACAAGTCGGTGTTTTCAAGGCACAAAGGTCCTTCCTGTACTGACTGAGTCTTCTTGTGGAGTTGCCACTGGTGTGCCTTCCACATGTACAGAACAGGCCGTCCTTGTTGAGCAACAATTGCACGACGAACAGTTCTGTTTTCTTTTTTGTCGCTTGTAGTTAAGTCATCATAGATATTTTCTAAATCACTTGAACTTCCTCCACTGAAATTGTCCTCATGAGCATCTGCCTCTGTTTGGAATACACAGTCCTGCCCGTGCCCTGTTCCCGGCGTGACATCATCAGCCTTCGGTAATCATCGGCCCTGTGCTCGGGTATTTCTGTGACTACACTTGCATAACCCAATTGTATAAAAAAATAAGGGCTCTAATGGTGGCCGTTGGACTTTAATAACAATTATTTGCATGCGACTTGTAAGATGCATTTGGATTACCTGTCACTTTTATCTATCTTCTGTGTAGTGTCCTAATAAGACAATGAATCGATGTTTACAGCACAACGTCTCGGGGATCTTGTTTTTGTTTTACCTAAAAACTGCCAATAATAAGAAACTGAACGTTTTTACTTAACCTAAATATTTTTTTTTGTTTTTGTGATAATACAGTCCAACCAAACAAACTTTTTTTTTTGTTAAAATCACACAGATGTTGCTTTTTTTCTTCTTTTCATTTTACTGTTTTTTAACAGCCCTTATAATAACTGGAGCGTTTCGTTTACCAGTTCTCTTTTTGAATTGTTGGATCATTTTGGGAGTGAAAAATCACAGCACAAACGTTTTAAAAAAGTAAGAGAGGTTTCTGTCTTTAAAGTTGGCTGCCCTAAAGTCCCATGAAGAAACTGTGGAACTGTACAAGCAAACTGAGAAAAACTTTTCAATGAATTGTCTTTTTTTTTTCTTAGGGAAAACCTTGCTGGATGTCCTGTTTTTGGCTTCTGCCGAGCAGTCCCCGTCTGCTAAAGACCTGCTGCCACTATTAGGGGCTCTTAAACACATGTCCTGCTGGCATACTGCAAAGATCACTGTAGTCACACAGCACACTGCGGGGTGAGAACATGATCAAACTTTTTTTACGTTTTATCTTTAATACTGTTCTTCAAAAAATAAAATAAAAAATCCAACCAAGAGCCAGATTAATATTTAAGACTTTCAATGGGCTCTTTCACAACACTGAAACTTTACACACCTTTATTCTGTTTTAGCATGATGCTCTTTATAACTTTGTTTTAATCCACAGTAAGCTATTTGTATTTTTTGTAATAACCCAAATTCACCACTAGAGGGAGATAGATGAACGTGAGAAGTTGGATACTAGTCATGCAAAATCCAGCTCATTGACAAACTAGCAACTGTGCTCATTTCTCATCTTAGTTGACAAATGATCATAAATTACATCTCGTGTAAAATATGCAAACTGAGGCCAATAAGTAAATGTTTGACCTCTTGCAGGTGGCAGAAAACAGCATCCTCTCTGAGCGCAGGACTGATTGAGCCAGCTGATCTGATTTTCTGCGTCGATCACCGAGAAATGTGGAGGGGGAGCCTGGTCATCAGAGAGAAGAAGGTAATAGTCTGGGTTTCATTGGCCAACTTATCTGACAGTGTTCAGCAAAACATTTACACGTTTATTTAGTTGTAAGGTTTAAAGGTAATCTGTAAAAATAGTAACAATATATAAAAACCTTGACTAAACCCTCAGCTGAGAGCAGTTTTTGAGATACAGTCCTGGCATCTCATGTAGCGATGATGAGGCAGCAGAGACGAGCAGCAACTAAGAGGATGCGAGTTCATAGCTCCTTCATCGTTTAAAGGATTTAGGCTCATTCAGGAGCTGCACTTGTACCATGAACGCTTTAGTACATACTTCAGAGCGAGTATGAAGCAATGTGACAAGAGTGTTGCATCGTTGGAGCCTAGCAGATAGATGCTCCTTTCATGCTGCACCAGGAAAAATGAGCTCCTTTCTTACAATCTCAGTCTCGCAGCACCAAACCTGGATACACGGGTGTGCGTCCTTCTTCCTTGAGTTGACCAATAAACCTGCGGTGAGCATTGCACACCCCTCCTTGTTTCCGAAAGAGTTCTAAAATATTCATTTTATTATCCAATAATGTTACTTACGTGTCCATACACAATACCATTTTAACAGTTAAAAGGCCTGAGCTCCACTGAAATAATGTATAATAACATAGAGATATAATGTAATCCTCCTCCCTGGATAAAATCTGACAGTGACTTGTTTCCTTCAGTGTTTGCTACAAGCTAACCGTCAGGTCTTCAGCCCTGTGAGAAATTTTTTTTTTATGAGCACACGTCTCCTGCTCAGTTTTGATAAGGCCAGTGTGCTGCTGTTTGTAACAAAAACCTTTAGACGTCGCATGTCGTTTCTGAATCTTTTTCTCAAGCCAGTGATGACTCATTTATATTTAAATAACGTAATTCTTTGACGTGAAAGCAGTAAAAGAACTTAACACCTTTACGATCTTGAGATGAGAAATCTATTAGAAGCCTTAAAAGGCAGTAACATTACAGTCGGCGTAGCTGTAAGATAAATGTCCACACATTTAAAGTTTGAATGAATTTTTGTCTCCCTGGGGGGCAGTTTGTCTCTGCTGCTGAATAAATCTGGAGGAACTGCTTCAGGTCATGGAAGGGTCATGGGAAATGTCTCGTGTTGTCAGCATTACCATGAGCTGACTCTGTCTGGTCTGGCCCAGCCCAGTTTGGCATGAATATTCCAAGAGAATCACTCAGTTTGAAGTTGGCAGCATTTGACTTCTTTACCACAATAAAGGCCCTGTCTCACAGTGACGTATAGCATCAACGCATGCCAAAAATGGAAACAAACGGGCAAACACACTAGTGTAAGTCCCATAAGTTAAGTAAGTTTTAATAAGTTATCAGCAGGCTGATATACGATGGGCAGCATATGCATAAAACTTTCTGTGTATGCTGACATGTTGCTCATAAGTTAGGTGGAAGTTGTGTTGTGCACACATTAAGTTTTCATACGTTGGAAACCAGCAGGACAGTTGTGTACATACACATACCATTTCTAACCTATGAGCAGCTTGACGTATGCAGAGCTTGTGTGCAACATTAGTGTAACTTGTGCAGAACTTGGGCATAGCATGTTAGAGCATATTGCAACAATAAACGTCACATTAGATATACATTAGATATAAATGTTTTGGGGTGGCTGAGATGGGGTAGGGCAGCTGACTTGGGACCAGAAAGTTGTGGTTTGACTCCCAGCCATTCCCACATGTCATGGTGTCTCTGAGCAAGACAACCAATCCCTAATTGCTCACCGGGTGTCAAAAATTGTACTACACTCAAAACTAATTAACCAACATTTCTTCTGAAATTTGACAATAATTACAATTATTGTCAAATTTCAAACAATATTATTGTTTATCACAATGACTTCTGAGACAATTATTCACCCAGCAAAATTTCTTATCGTGACAGGCCTAGCCGCAGAAGAAATCAAACAAATCTGTGATCCTCCAGCTCTGTGGTGATAGTTGTGGACCTCTGCACCTCATAGATCCTTCAGGATGGATGTTTCTCATAAATTGTACCCCCATTAATCCCCCCCCCCCCCCACACACACACACACACACACAACCTGGAACATTAATCCCTTAAGGCACAGATATTACAATATGATGTGGACATGTCTGACATAAATTAGATATTTTAGAAGTAGGTTGCTCATAGGTTCAAAACAAGTTACATGTATGTTTCACAACTGCCCAGCTGGTTTCAGACATGTCAATTTATGAATAACTTGCATGTAATATGTGTGGACTTATGCATAACCTGTAACTTATACCTTGCTTATTAGCAGTATGTCTGAATACACTGACAGTTTTGTGCATGCACTAAATTTTTGTCCAAATTATGCCATCATATATCAGTGTGCTGGTAACCTATTCAAAACTTAAACTTAACTAATGTGACTTAGATTAGCATGTTTGTCATTTTGTTCATACGCTGATGATGTACATTCTATGTTTGTTTGTTTCTCCTTTCTGTCCTCTCAAACCCCAGGCGGTCGAAGCAGATGGCCGCTCGTCCTGAGCCTGGTTCTGCTGGTGGTTTCTTCCTGTTAAAAGGGAGATTTAATGCAATCAGCTGGCTTCCTTAGATAGATAACTTTTACTAATTGGCTTTTATATTGTATGTGATTGTTTCTGTGCAGTGCCCTGAGCCGACTTCTGTTGTGAATTGGCGCTATATAAATAAACTGAACTGAATACATCATTGTGTGACAGCTGCCTTTGTTGCAATTTGCTCCAACATGCTCTGCATAAGTTCAAAAAGGCTTCCAGTTGATTTACAAAATTTTCATACTTCAACACAAGTTCTCTAAACTTAGTGTGACAGGGCCTTAAGGCACTTGCGAATAAAATTTAATCGGGCAGTTTCTGTCTGCACTCAGACAATTTAAAAATCTTTTTATCAATTCATATTGGAACTTCCCTCTGTTCTATGTTTCTGTACGTTACTGTGCAACAGAAAGGATTAAGATGAATAGAATACTGGAAGTTACCAGAAAATACTTTGGTTGGTTAACAAGTTCTTTGTGTCTGGGTAGAACTGATCTGTTTTGTCTGTGGTACTTTCAGGTGTTGGTCTTAAAATTAGAATATGATGAAAAAGTTGATTTATTTCAGTAATTCCATTCAAAAAGTGAAACTTTATATTATATTCATTCATTACACACAGACTGATATATTTCAAATGTTTATTTATTTTAATGTTGATGATTATAACTGATAACTAATGAAAACCCCAAATTCAGTATCTCAGAAAATTAGAATTTTACTTATGACCAATTAAAAAAATGATTTTTAGAAATGTTGGCCATTTGAAAAGTATGAACATGAAAAGTATGAGCATGTGCAGCACTCAATACTTAGTTGTTGCTCCTTTTGCCTGAATTACTGCAGCAATGCTGCGTGGCATGGAGTCGATCAGTCTGTGGCACTGCTCAGGTGTTCTGAGAGTCCAGGTTGCTCTGATAGTGGCCTTCAGCTCTTCTGAATTGTGAGTCTGGTGTTTCAAATCTTCCCCTTCACAATAGCCCATAGATTTTCTATGGGGTTAAGGTCAGGCGAGTTTGCTGGCCAATTAAGAACAGGGATACCATGGTACTTAAACCAGGTACTGGTAGTTTTGGCACTGTGTGCAGGTGCCAAGTCCTGTTGGAAAATGAAATCTCCATCTCCATAAAGTTGATCAGCAGCAGGAAGCATGAAGTGCTCTAAAACTTCCTGGTAGATTGCTGCATTGACCTTGGACCTCAGAAAACACAATGGACCAACACCAGCAGATGACATGACCCCCCCAAACCATCATGACTGTGGAAACTTGACACTGGACCTCAAGCAACATGGATTCTGTGCCTCTCGTCTTCCTCCAAACTCCAGGACCTTGATTGACAACGGAAATGCAAAATTTACTTTCATCAGAGAACATAACTTTGGACCACTCGGAAGCAGTTCAGTCCTTTTTGTCTTTAGCCCAGGTGAGATGCTTCTGATGCCGTTTCTTGTTCAAGAGTGGCTTGACACAAGGAATGCGACAGCTGAAATCCATGTCTGGCATACGTCTGTGCGTGGTGGTTCTTGAAGCACTGACTTCAGCTGCAGTCCACTCTATGTGATTCTCCCCACATTTTGGAATGTGTTTTGTTTCACCGTCCTCTCCAGGGTGCAGTTATCACTATTGCTTGCACACTTTTTTCCTACCATATATTTTCATTCCCTTTGTGTCTCTATTAATGTGCTTAAACACAGAGCTCTGTGAACAGCCAGCCTCTTTAACAATGACCTTTTGTGTCTTGCCCTCCTTGTGCAAGGTGTCAATGGTCGTCTTTTGGACAGCTGTCAAGTCAGCAGTTTTCCCCATTTATTTATTTTGTTAATCTTTATTTAACCAGGCAAATCCCATTGAGATCTCAGATCTCTATTGCAAGGGGAGCCTGGGCCTGAAGGCAGACTAACATGCAAGTTTTTGGTCTGTGGGAGGAAACTGGAGTACCCAGAGAAAACCCATGCAAGTACGAGAAGAACATACAAACCCCACACAGAAAGACCCCAGGTCCAACCAGGAATTGAACCCAGGACCTTCTTGCTGTGAGGCAACAGTGCTAACCACTGAGCCATCATGCTGCCAGTTCTACACCATTTGCACCATATGTGGTACATGCTATGAAATGAAACTGTGTATACAGAGTCCCATTTACATCCAACAAAAGTATAAATTGTAAAGAAAACGGTAACAACATCTAAGATATAAACTTAAGAAAAATACTAGACTAAGAATACGCTAAGCACTAGTAATACAAAAACAATATGCCGAACAACTGCAGCACAAACAAGTCTGAGTGAGCAGATGAGTACGAATGAACACAGTAGCATGAAATAAATCAGCAGCATGAGATCAGCAGCATGGATAGTCAGCAGCACATATCAACAATCAAAGTTGCATTTCAGTGATTTTTATTTTCACAGTGATAATCCTGATTAGGGATTTATGAGACGGCTTCAGGGTATAAGACTTTCCTCAGTCTACACTTAATGCTCCTCAACCTCCTGCCTGAGGGGAGCGGGGCAAAAGTGTGTGTGCTGGGTGAGTGGGGTCCTTCATGATACAGGTGGCCCTCTTCCTGCATCTGGAGGTGTAGATGTCTGTGATGGTGAGGAGACTGACTCCAACATCTTCTGTGCAGCCTTCACCACTCTCTGCAAAGCTTTTCTTTCTGCAGCTGTGCAGTCTCCATGTCACACGTTGATGCTGGAGCACAGGATGCTCTCCACTGCACACCTGTATGAGGTGAGGACTGAGCTTCCCAGACCAGCTCGTCTCAGCCGCCTGAGGAAGTATAGTCTTTGATGAGCTTTCTTGATCAGGCTGGTGGTGTTGTTGCTCCAGCTGAGGTTGTCGTTAAGGTGCACACCCAAGTACTTGTAGCTGGAGACCACTTCCACTTCAGATCCTCTTATGTTTGTGGGGTTAGGTGTGTTTGTTCCATCTAAAACCCACGGCCATCTCCTTCGTCTTCTTCACATTGATGTGAAGGTTGTTCTTCCTTCACCAGCTCTCCAGGTGTTCCACCTCCTGCCTGTTGCTGGACTTATTGTTGTTTGTGATGCATCCAACCACCACTGTATTGTCTGCAAACTTTACAATATGACAGTCTGGATGGGTAGGCGCACAATCATATGAGAGCAGGGTGAACAGGAGAGGGCTCAACACACAGCCCTGGGGGGAGCCAGTGCTGAGGGTTATAAAGTTCTAATACAGTAGTCCCTCGCTACTTCGTGGTTTGTTTTTCGTGGAGTTGCTATATCGCGGTTTTTCAAAGTAAGATTGGACATGACACAAGTGGCTGATTGATGGATGAGCCATGGGTTGTTAATTTACAGCCTGGCACATGTCATGACAAAGTTTACTGAACTTGATCTGAACTTGAACTTGGACTACTGTATCCCTAGTTGGCGATTTTTCACTTATCGTGGGTGGTGGGGTCAGGTTACGGAACCCCTGTGATAAACGAGGAACTACTGTACTAACAATACAGCCTTAAATCACACTATGCAATTCTTGTTTTTGGTCAAGGACACACACAAACTGAACAGATTGCCTGAAGCATAATGTATTTGACATTTTGGCATCACCTTCATCTGTGAAGGTGAATTTTAGCTGGAACACTCAGTTTAAGTCTGCATGTGTTTTCCATAATTAGTGCAGATCCTCTGCAATGTAGTGTGTCAGAACATTTCTTTCTTACCTCTACAGTGACTGCACATTTTAGTCATAACTGAAAAAAATTTAAGTAATTCTCTTTGACAATTATTCCCACCTTTTTTATTAATCACAAGCCCTGTTTTTATATAAAAGCTGTTTTGCAGTCAAAACATCTTTTATTATCCAGTAATGAATGGAGAACATTATGCTGGTGGAGATTCTTCAGCCAACTGTTGTTGTTTGCTCCTGGTCAATGGAAGTGTCAGGAGCTCCTCACTGCACAATGTGGCCAAGATTTATTTCTGACTCTTCTTCAGGACTCCGTCAATGAATCATTGATGCGCGTCTTTTCTTCCGACCAAAATGATGAAGACAAATGATGTGATGGGGATTTCTCTGGCATGGCTAGTCTTTATCAAGCTTCGGATGCTACCACTATGGAGAAAACAAGATAAATATTTAAACACATACCTTAGATATTAAACACACAGCTTGACAATTTGTATTTATGAGTCACACACAAACCTAACATTCACAATATATTGTTAGTTTGAGGTTTTATGTTACATCCACAGTATTTCAGTTCTCTTTAGTAAACAGCTTCATTGTATACATGGCTGGCTGGCCCTCCTCACAGCTCTTTCATATTATTCAACCTTTAGGGTGGATTTGCAAGTTCTAACTTCACTCTGCTCAGGGTGCTGAGGGAAGATGGATGCTATATGTCTGACTGGTCATTACTCTTCAGTCCTGAAAACAACGGAGCAAAAATTTACATTAAAGGGCAGATTAAAATGTGCATCTTATGAACACATCTGACAAGAATATATAACACTTTCTATGTTAAAAACTCATCTGAACTTTGATTATCTTAATTCTGTATTTCAAGAGATCTGAGCTCTTTGTATGTAAATTAAATTGTCTGTGGAATAATTTCTACATCAAACTAGTTAGTTTTTATAAATACTGGAAAACTGTGAAGACTGAGCTTTATTAACTGTGTAACTAAAGGCTTTGCAACTTGTATTTATAAAGGTGTTATTAAAAATTACAGAGCTAATAACTGTTATTTGTCATTTTTATGAGTCATTTCTATATTGTAGAAAAACAAAAACGGTTAAATCATGTCATCTGGACAAGTTTCTTTTATGGAGAAATGTTTCGTCTTTCATCCAAAAGACTTCATCAGTCTGCGGTCTGCCAACCCAAATCTGTCCTGTAAATTGCCCTCATCAGTGTTTTAAGCCAGCCTCCTGTTGAATTCACATATACTAGCTTTAGCACAAGCAAAAAGGGACTATCCATCCAAAACAATCAGTCATCATGTACAACAATCAAATGTTTTAGGCCAGATGGCCGACTTGCTTCTCACAGAAACAGCCTGAGGACAACCAAGACCAAAATGGTTCAGAAAAAGGGTTGTAAGCTCAATCATCCAGGTAGATAACAACAAAAAAGGTTAAATAATGTCATCTAGACCAGTTTCTTTTAGGGAGAAATGTTTCTTATACAACTTGCTATTTGTATTTGCTTCACGGTGACAAAAATTTGCCTGGTTTTACAGATATGTCTGGATTTTGAACTCCTCTCTTTTCTCACTTTTGCATTTCGAGAAATGAAATATTTTCTCTCAGGATGTTTCTTTTTGTGAGAAGGGCAATCTTTTACATGGCAACTTTTCACCATTTTTCTAATTTCCCCCCAAACCAATATGTCAGCCTGTGTGCACAGTATGGTCACGACGTGACAACATGCCTGGATGTCCGACTTTCAGAACGCCCGTATGCTTTGAGTGCCTATATTTAAATAAAGTGTCAATTGCATAATGTAGATATTTTCCAGCTTTAATTGTTTAACAGTAATTACTTGTTTGATGAATGGTTTAATTATTGCCTGCTGCCAAAAGGCAGACACTGTTTTTGGCTGCCTCGTTGTACGCTTGTCTGCCTGTTGGCAAAATATCTCCTGAACCAGTGGACCGATTTAAATTAAACTCTCAGAAAATAATCATTGGATGGATATCTACAATTTTTACCTTTTTGAAGTTAAACCAATTCAAAATGCTAACATAAAAATCACAATTATGACTAACTCAGTAAATTTTACAAATATTGTGCTAAATTTTGGTGTGGTAGTAGTTGAAGATCATGCCCATCACATATTCCAAGTGCTAACAGATTGATCAAGTTTTTTTGAAACGGCATGAGTTTGTGCATAATGTTATTGTAAATATGTGACTGAAACAGTTATAACTTCATTTCGCAATTATAAGATGACCTTAGTTTAAAACATTTGCATTAAGGTTGGTGGGTAATTCACATTTTTTATTGAATGCTAGGGTTTTTTACTTAATATTTAAAAAAAAAAAAAACTACAAGAAATCAAACAGTTATCAATTCTGCAGAGAGAAAGAGCTTGTGAGTAATTTCTCAAAATCTTTTTTCCTCTCCATGTGTTTGCATCAGTTTGCATCTGAACTCCGCTTTGATGGCTTTTCTCTGCACCACACATCAGAGTCAAGCCTCTTGCAAGCTTCTTGCACCACCACAGATCACAAATTAAACTCTGAGGTAAGTCTCTTTCTGCATCGCTGAACCTGTTGTTGTCCAGCATCAAAGTTAATTAAAGGGGATGGATCACACTGAATTCACAATGTAGTTCTTGTAATAAAGTTTTAATCAATGCAAATCATTGTTTCATTTCAATTTGTGCTTCCAGCATCTGAATGATTCCCTTTTTGGTCTCCCAGATGAAGATCTGTGCCTCAAGTAGTAAGCAGGGTGTTCTGCCACAATGCTGCAGGGTGTGCATTTTATCTCAGGGTTGCCAGTGTGTATGTCTTGGATTGAGAAATGCAGCCAAGTTGAGGTGTTTTGAATATTGTAGCTTGAAAAACTGACTATAATTAAGTATTGCTGTATTAATGTGTTTACTTCTAATCTCTTTAAATTTATTGTTAAAATGTTCCTTTTTAAAGAGGACTAGCTGAGATGAAGATTAAACTCATCAGGTCTTCAGCTTCAGGTCTTGAGATCCTGAAGCTGCTGCATCACAGACCACAAGGACTATTTAAAATATGTATATTTTGTGTATTTCAATTGTTCCTCCATGTGAAAATGCATTTTGTTTTTAAATTATTTTGTCTATTCTTACAATGCTTTTTATTCTGTTTGTTGTGTAGTCACAGCCATTCTCTGTTTGTCCTGGTTTTGCAGGTCTTCCAGTACTTTGCACCAGTTTGCGACTTGGTCCAGCTGGTTGATTTGTCAGACCTGCCCAGCTTTCTAACGTCCAGCGCCCAGTTTGAACTGTATCCTCGTATTCAAGTGTATCTTTGTTTTTTTTTTTGTTTTTTGAGCTCAGTTTAAGTGTAGAAACATTGTGAAGTGTTTCAATGAACTTATCATCATCGCTCAATTTTTTTTTTTTTTTTTTTTTTAAAGAGAGAAGAAAGAAGAATAATTAAATAATAAAAGAGAAATAGATAAAACGAGAGACCACCACGACAAAACAACATGCACAGCACAATGCCACCCACAATATCACCATGAAACATTCGACATTGCACAAGGAATCATCTAGCTTCCACCACTACCCAACCTAGCGTGCATCTGTCACAGCACCTGAATCCAAACACCCGCGCAAGCACGCTCACCACCAGATTTCTCCAAAAGAATGCACAATAGTGGACGCAGGGGCCCACAGACCCGTCCCCCCAGGACACAATGGCAACATAGGGAGGACCGGAGCCACAGACACACAGCGGCCCACAGGCCCGGAGCCCCAGGAGTCTCCCAACAGGGAGAACCGCACCCCCCCAGAGAGGAGCAGAGGAAAGAACCGGGTGACCCCAGCCACCACAATGCAGAGCCTCCAGGAAGCTGCAGCGACGAGCCCACAGGTCCGGCCGGCGACCCATGCCCCCCCCCCCCAAGTAGATCCGGCCATGGACACCGAGCCCCAAGCCCCGAGGCCATACCACCCCCCGGCAGAGCCCCGACAGAGCCAGGGCACCCAGGCCCCGCCAGGCAGCAACCAGGGCAGACCGACGTGCACCCCACCACCCAGCCCAGACACCGAGAGCCACCAATGCACCGTCGGCAAAGGGGGGCACGACCAGGGGGAGTGGGCCCCACACCAAATGTGGGGCCCAAATTGATCCAAGAGAGGGGGACCACCAAAAACCCAACCTGAGCAACCAACAGGCACACACAGATAGCATGCACCATCTACCTGACAGCGACCACAGGCCGGCCCCAGCCCAAGGGGCAGAGCAGCAGGGAGCCGCAGCTGAGGAGGGCCGGCTCTCACATCAAGAGCTCCGCACCATAGGCCCGGAGACGCCCCAGCACGCCACCTATGCACCCCCCCACACACACAGCACCCCCACCGCAAATGCCACACAGGAAGACCAGCCAGTGCCCTGATGAGGCGAAGCCACGCCCCCAACCGCCGCCCTACACCACCAATGACCACACGTTCACTACCATAGCCGACCCCCCGCCGAAAGCCGGCAGCCACCCCGGTCAAAGTGCCGGCCATCGCAACCAGGAAACTAGATTAAAAGAATCTGAACAGCCCAGGAGGAACCGAAGCACCGGCCCCATCACTGACCGCCCCCAAGGCCCAAAGCCCACCCACAGCCCAGACCCCAACAATGTGCCCCCCTCCCCCTCCATCCCAGACCCCTAGTGTCACACGGAGAAAGGAGGTGTTTGTGAAAAAAAAATAAAATAAAAAAAATAACTAAATAAAAAAAAAAAAAAAAAAAAATCTATATATGCATAAATAAATTATGAACAGACCCACTTCCTCCTCCTCCCACTCGAATATGGTGTTGATGCATGTTGTTATACAGTGCGTTTAAAATGGGGGGATGAGGTGGCGATCGGCACAGACCCACCTCTTGCCCAGAGAGCAGGCGGTGCCCGTTCACCCCTCATCTCCGCCCCGAACCCTAAATGTCTACATGCTACATATGAGAGTGGGCACAGGTCCGGGGAGGTGGAAATGGTAGTACATCCCACCACCTAAGTGCGAAAAAAAAAAAAAAAAAGTGTATCTGTTTGTAAGAACATCTGTGTTTGTGTGCTTGCTGAAAACATATACCAAAATAACATAATTTGTACTTTTATTATACAGTCATGTAAGAAGGTTTGCACACTTTTATTTTAGTTTTAAGATTTTGAGTTTTGCTATACAAGAAAAAATAATTTGGTTCTAACCAGCCCTAACAGAAGAGGTAGAAAACATCCATAGATTACAAATCTACATGATTTTATACACCATTTAACTGTTTATCGAAACAGTGACAAAAAAACTGCAGAAGAAGAATGGTGAAAGCCTCTAAACCTAAACTTGTCATTACGTTGTTCCTTTACGACTAACAAAAAGAGGCCTGTCTGGGAAGTCAGAGAAAGCTAAACTTCTCTTGGACCAGCTGAGGTCACTTCGTGGAAAGGTACTGCTCATTGTTGTTTATTCTAACTCGAGGCATTTCCTATATGCTAAATAAATAAATGAGACAACTTGTTAGAAGATGCCTTTAAAGAATCAAGTTTAGATGACAGAAGAAGATGAGTTGAATCTGTTGTGTTGTTTTAGGGTTTATGTTTGTTTGTTCTTTACCTTCAGGTTGGAGCTTTGTTCAGCCTGTCCTGCACAGTCACTCCTGTTGCCCAACCTTCAGCCAGCCAGCTAAGCTCCCAGCGCTGGAAAGAGTCTTTAGCCCGGAGGCCAAAGTCATTTCTTGGTAAGAGTTTTTCTTTTCAAGCTTTTGTTTATAAGAACTTGACGTAAGAGAGGTGTACCATGTCATTTTCTGAGTTCAGCTGTTTGTGACAGCTGGACTGAATCATTCAAGTATTTGATGGAAACGTAAACTAAATTGATGTGAAAGATATCGTGATCAAACTTTATTTTGTTTGACCTTTATTTATTTGACCAGGCTATTCATTTGAGAACATATTCTCATTTTCATTGATGACCTGGCCGATAGGTCACAAATACAGAAGTGGTAGAACAGCAGAAGACATCTAGACAACAGACAGCAAATCTTCAATTTGTACATGGGAATGATAATGAAAATTACTACTTGAGTAAATTTGTTAGATGCTGCAAATTAGACTGCGAGGATTAAGGTTGTTTTTTTTAGACGGGTCGATGCTCTAAATTTCTAAGTAAAATAAAAAATATTTTTACTTGTAAAATTCACTGATTAGCTTTCTGATAGCGGTTGGTAACTGCATAAAACCTGGCAAATTTCTTCTCTAACGCAGGTTGATTCTGTATGTACCATAATTCCTGTCCTTGCTGACTTTTTCTGCAGTGCCTGATGTTGAGGTGAAAGGTGAGAGTGCTGTCTACTTCCTGTTGGTCCAGGGCTCAGATGATGCTGGTTCTGGAGTGTGCAGGGTCAGGATAATGCACTCGTACTGTCATCTTAATGGAGCGGCTGCTATAGCAACCATCTCTGGCTTGCTGAGAGAAAAAAATCTCTCATCAGGTATTTTGTGTGATCTTGGCTTTGTGTATACTTTTGTGTTTACTTCATTTACTGTAAAGAATATCTTTTCATTTAAATTTACTAAACTTGTAGTTCCTTAGATGTTTTTAGAACCTGAAGGCGTGTGAGCCTTTTCCAAATATAGGATAATTAAGCTTGTGACTGTTCTCACTTTGGACAAATGAATTTTAATTCTGACCGGATTAACAAGCTAGCAGTGAGGCCAATAACAAAGTTTTTTTTTGTCATCTTTAAACGGCTCCAGTCACAAAAGTTCATAGATGTGTGAATACTATTTAAAAACCTTAACATTGATGCACGTTTTACATTACATGGTTATTTTGTTATACATATTATGATACTTCTACAGAAAGTGTCCTGAACTGTGGCAAAACTTCTACAGCTAGCTGCTGCCATTTGCAAAAACAGTTCAGTTTGGTTCGGTAGGCAGGGCGCTTGGCTGTGTTGACCGGGCGTGGCACACTCGTATAATGGTAGGGAAAACACTGATATAGCGCCAAGTCACAACAGAATTCTTCTCGTTTTTGGACATGATGTTTCTAATCTTAGTGATATTACGCATGTGGAGGAAAGCAGTCCTGGTAACGTTTTTACTGTGGGGGTTAAAAGACATGCCCTGATCAAAAATAACACCAAGGTTTTTAACTTTAGAACTGCAGGCCAGATTAATGTCATCCAGAGAAAGACTGCAAAAATTATTCCTAAAATGCTCAGGTCCCACAACTGCAACCTCTGTCTTGTCTGAGTTTAAAAGCAGAAAATTAAGGATCATTCATGTTTTATGTCTTTAAGACATGCTTGTAGTCTAAGTAGCTGATTGGATTCATTGGGTTTCATGGACAAATATAATTGTGTATCATCAGCACAAAGATGAAAATTTATCCCATGTTGTTTAATAACTTTACTTAATGGAAGCATATATAAGTTAAAGAGTATTGGTCCAAGCACTGAACTCTGAGGAACTCCATGACTAACTTTGGTGTATGAAGAAGATTCATTATTTATATTTACAAACTGAAATATATCAAATAAATATAATTTAAACCATTTTAGAGCTGTTCCTGTATTCCCAATATCATATTCAAACCTCTGTGGTAAAATATTATGATCAACTACAGGACCAGTATAGACACAAGTCCATTATCAGAGGCCATGAGAATATCATTAGTAACTTTCACCAGTGCTGTTTTTATGCTATGGTGAGCTCTAAACCCTGACTGAAACTCCTCAAACAGACTAATTCTGTTCATGCAACTGATTTGCAACTATTTTCTTAATAATTTTTTTTAGCTGAATGGTAGATTAGATATACTGTGGGTCTATAACTGTCTAGAATTCCTGAATCATGATCAGGTTTCTTAAGTAAAGGTTTACAAGAAGTAAGATATTCATTGTTCATAAGCCTTTCCCACAAATTCCTCTTCTAAAGATTTGAACAATAGCTTGAGGTTAAATCGGCTGTGCCTAAATTCATTCAGCAGTCTACCCAATGATAAACAGATTGGTGTTAATGTAAATACAAGCAATGGTTGTTGACCATCTTATCATTAAAAAGAGCAGACAAAACTAATATGCTGACTAAATCAATGTTCAACACATTCAGTTAATGATTCACATTTCTATAGCACGTTTTAACTGTACTTTGTTGTACAGTCCTCTTTAAAACGTGGTTCTCATTCAATCATTGACTCACTCTCTCTTTTATGCAACTGAACTCTACATCTGTGGCACCTCTTGTTGTCACCTGACACTCACAACCTGACACTCAAGTGGATTTAGTGTTTTCAAGTGTCAGTGACACTTGAATATCTTGCTTGGCTGAAAATTGAACCTTCAATTCTCCAAATGGCCACCATAATCTCTCCAAGCTTTAGCCATACAACTGATTTGTATCAGTTTGATTTTAAGATTTTACCTTCCCTATGCACTTTAACTTCAAGGCTCCAAGCTATAAGGGATGCTTTATAATTTGAAAACATTACTTTTATTAAATAAAAAATTGTATTCAATCCAACTTTATTTGTAAAACACGAGCACTTTGAAACACCACAGCAGACCAAAGTAATGTACAGAGTTGATAAAAACACAGTTCACACATCATGAAATACAATTAAAACAAAAGTACCCAGTAAATTAAAACAATGGTATGATCAATCAGACCAATTAGTGTGTAACTCCTACCCACTTGAATATATTGCACCAAAAACATCAAGATTCACTATTTCTTAAATACAGTAGTAAGAAGTTTAATTCTTTTTTTTTTGTATTTTTATGATATGCATGTCACAGACACTTTTTTCTTGTGAATTCAATTCTTATGTGCATTTTTCTGATTATAAGTTACTAAATGGGTAGGCATTTACAGAAATTAAACTGTTTAGTTCTATAACTAAAAGTTAAACTTAGTTTCATTCATGATAAAAGACCTTGAATGTTCTTGTGCCAGTATGAGATGTGAGACCTGCTGTGAAGTTTTCTCCTGAGATTTTTGGTTGTTTAACATTTTGTGCAACCTTGAGGAGACATTGTTTTTGTTTTGTTTTGTAAAGCTAGTACTTTATATTATTCATCTTTAATTGATGAGAATAAAAATAACCCCAGGTTCCTTTTCAGTACCATAGCTAGTTTAATGAAAAATCATATCTTTATTGAACCATGTATCCCTACAACTATAAGCAGTGATGAGTTCATGAGATTCTTTATAAATAAAATTATTTCAATCGGTGAGAAAATTCAAACCATCCTTCCTACTATCATCTCTGGTTCCCTGTCAGATGAGGCAACTTTAAAAATGTCAGTAGAACCTGATTTATGTTTGTATTGTTTTTGTCCTGTTGAGCTCTCTAAATTGTCAAAAATAATAGCTTCATCTACACTAGCAACATATCAGCTAGATCCCATCCCAACCAGACTGTTTAAAGAGGTATTTTCCTTATCCACATTTTGGATCTGCTTAATTTGTCTCTCATGAATGATTATGTACAACAGAACTTTAAGATTGCTGTAATTAAACCTTTACTAAAGAAACATCTTGACTCAGAAATCCTAGCCAATTATAGACCTATATCTAATCTACGGTAACTTTCTTCTAAAAAATATTCTAGAGACAATAGTTGCAGGTGACTGCAAAGAAATAATCTGTTTGAAGAGTTTCAGTCAGGTTTTAGACCTCACTACAGCACTGAGTCTGCACTGGTGAAAGTTACTAATGATATTCTCATGGCCTCTGACAATGGACAGGTGTCTGCACTGGTCCCGTTAGACCTCAGTGCTGCATTTGATACAGTTGATCACAATAGATACCAGAGGCTTGAATATGATATTGGAATTACAGGAACGGCTCTAAAATGGTTTAAATCATATTTCCTATATAAGATTATTATTCTGAAAAAAGGATAAGAGAGGCCGCGCTTACAACAGCAGCTTCATGCACTCCGTCCATTTTCCGGACGACTGCATGTACCTGTTCTTGTTGTATCTCGGTGCAATAATAATAAAGCTTATTCTGATTCTGATTTATCTCATTAATTCCAATTTGTAAATGTAAACAATAAATCTTCTTCATACACCAAAGTTTGTCATGGAGTTCCTCAGGGTTCAGTACTTGGACCAATACTCTTTACCTTTATATATGCTTCCATTAGATAAAGTTATTAGACAGCATGGGATACATTTTCATTCTTATGCTGATGATACACACAGTTATATTTGTCCATAAAACCCAATGAATCCAATCAGTTATGTCTTGAAGACAAAAAAAACAAAACATGGACGACCCTTAATTTTCTGCTTTTAAACTCAGACAAGACCGAGGTTTTGGTTTTTGGACCTGAGCATTTTAGGAATAAATTTTTCAGTCTTTCGCCCTCCTTGGATGGCATTAATCTGGCCTCCAGTTCTAATGTTAAAAATCTTGGTGTTATTTTTGATCAGGTCTTTTAACTCCCACATTAAAAATGTTACTAGAACCGCCTTCTTCCACCTGCATAAAATTCGCTAAAATTATAAACGTATTATAAAAAATTATGCAGAAAAACTGGTTCATGCATTTGTCACGTCTAGACTGGACTATTGTAGTGGTTTGCTATGTGGGTGTCCAAATACTTCTTTAAAATATCTTCATTTGATCCAAAATGTTGCTGCCAGAGTCTTAACTGGAGTTAGTAGGAGAGGTCATATCTCTCCAGTCCACTGGCTCCCTGTCAAGTCCAGAAATTAATTCTAAATGTTACTTCTAACCTACAAAGCCCTCAACAACCTAGCTCCGTCTTATATTAGAGATCTTATTGTTCCATATTTTCCTAACGGAGCACTTTGCTCTCCGATGGTAGGCTTACTTGTGGTTACTAGAGTTTCCAAAAGCAGAATGGGAGGAAAATCTTTCAGTTTTCAGGCTCCTCTCTTGTGGAACCAACTTCCAGTTTCTGTCTGTGAGACTGACAAATGTCCAGTTTTAAGACTGGGCTTAAGACTTTCCTTTTTGATGAATCCTATAGTTAGGATTGGCTTGTTATAGGCTTAGTCTACTGGAAGAAAAATTGACCTAATTTCTTAAAATGAATTGTTACAATTGAATAATTTTCATTTGATACTATTAGGGGTGGGCGATATGGCTCCATTATAATATTGTGATATTTCAGGGCATTCTGATGATAACAATAAATTTTGTGATATAACAAAAAAAAAAAATCATAGTTATTCATTTGACAAAATTAACTTAACATGTTGCTTTGCAGTATTACAGTATATAGAATTAAAAAAAAAACAACGAGGGTTATTTTAACTGAAATTACTTTATTTAGTAACTTATTCAGTTTCCAAGTAAAAACCGGATTCCAAAAAAGTTGGGACACTAAACAAATTGTGAATAAAAACTGAATGCAATGATGTGGAGATGGCAAATGTCAATATTTTATTCGTAATATAACATAGATGATAGATCAAAAGTTTAACCTGAGTAAATGTAACATTTTAAAGGAAAAATATGTTGATTCAAAATTTCACAGTGTCAACAAATCCCAAAAAAGTTGGGACAAGTAGCAATAAGTGGCTGGAAAAAGGAAATTGAGCATATAACGAACAGCTGGAAGACCAATTAACACTAATTAGGTCAATTGACAACATGATTGGGTATAAAAAGAGCTTCTCAGAGTGTCAGTGTCTCTCAGAAGCCAAGATGGTAAGAGGATCACCAATTCCACCATTGTTGCGCAGAAAGATAGTGCAGCAATACCAGAATGGTGTTACCCAGCATAAAATAGCAAAGACTTTTAAGTTATCATCATCAACCGTGCATAACATCATCAAAAGATTCAGAGAATCTGGAACAGTCGCTGTGTGTAAGAGTCAAGGCCGTAAAACTCTACTGGATGCTCGTGATCTCCGGGCCCTTAAACGTCACTGCACCTCAAACAGGAATGCCACTGTCACGGAAATAACAGAATGGGCTCAGGAATACTTCCAGAAAGCATTGTCAGTGAACACAATCCACCGTGTCATCCACCGTTGCCAGCTGAAACTCTACAGTGCAAAGAGGAAGCCATTTCTAAGCAAGCTCAGACGTTTGCACTGGGCCAGGGGTCATTTAAAATGGAGTGTGGCAAAATGGAAGACTGTTCTGTGGTCAGATGAGTCACGATTTGAAGTTCTTTATGGAACACTGGGACGCCATGTCATCCGGACCAGAGAGGACAAGGATAGCCCAAGTTGTTATCAACGCACCGTTCAGAAGCCTGCATCACTGATGGTATGGGGTTGCATGAGCGCTTGTGGCATGGGCAGCTTGCATGTCTGGAAAGACACCATTAATGCAGAAAACTATGTTCAGGTTCTAGAACAACATATGCTCCCATCTAGACGTCATCTCTTTCAGGGAAGACCCTGCATTTTTCAACACGATAATGCCAGACCACATTCTGCAGCAATCACAACATCAAATGTACTGAAATGGCCAGCCTGCAGTCCAGATCTTTCACCTATAGAGAACATTTGGTGCATCATAAAGAGGAAGGTGCAACAAAGAATGCCAAGACGATTGAACAGTTAGAGGTCTGTATTAGACATGAATGGGAGAGCATTCCTATTTCTAAACTTGAGAAACTGGTCTCCTCTGTCCCCAGACGTCTGTTAAGTGTTGTAAGAAGAAGGGGGGATGCCACTCAGTGGTAAAAATGGACTTGTCCCAAATTTTTTGGGATTTGTTGACGCCATGAAATTTGGAAACAACAGATTTTTCCCTTAAAATGATACATTCTCTCTGTTTCAACTTTTGATCTGTGATTTGTGTTCTATTCTGAATAAAATATTAGATGTTGGTTTTTATTCACAATTTATTTAGTGTCCCAACTTTTTTGGAATCCAGTTTGTAAATCTGGCAGCCCAGAGTGGGGTTGGGGGGGAGACAGCTGAGCTGTCTGTACCCACAGTTTAGCGCTGGGTGGAGAGACAGCTGAGCTGCACGTTGTTTGTTTTTATCTTTTTAGCTAGCTAGTATTGTGCACAACTAATTAGCGTTACGCCAGTACCAACAGGTGGAGGGGGGGTGCACAGATCGGCTCGGTCGTTCGGCGCGCTAGGTTTTGTTAACGTGGCGGGGCGCCCTGCTTGTATAATGATAGGGGTCATGAAATTAGCATATCATGATATAATTTATTTTCCCGGGCAAGCTTTTTTTTTTATCTGTATTATCGTGAACAATATGATATGGCCCAGCCCTAGATATTATTTCCATCTTAACATGTGATTCTCGACCTGCCATTGTGTATCTGTTCCTCCTTCCTGTTCCTCTCAAACCCAACCAGTCGAAGCAGATGGACACTTATCCTGAGCCTGGTTTTGCTAAAGGTTTCTTCCTCATGAGGGAGTTTTTCATTTCCACTGTCGCCTTCATGCTTGCTAAAGATGAGAGTTTGCATTGGAGTTATATTAAAAGCAGTCTGCTCCTCAGATAAATAATGTTAACTTATTTTTTATATATGAATGTTTCTGTTCAGTGCCCTGAGATGACCTGTTGTGACTTGGCGCTGTATAAATAAACTGAATTGAATTGAACTGTTTAAGATTATTTAAATTGGAGAGAGTGCTCTGCCTCACTAACAAAGTTTTTATTAAAATCATTCTTTAGATACACACATAAGGAACACGTCTGAATCAAAGGATGTTTGTGTATTGTACCAGATAATAATGTCAGCATTTACCTGGGCCTTGTTTAGGTTTTTTGTGCCAATTCTGCCTTTTTGCCTTATATTGTCTTGAATTAAAGCCTTATGTTCAACTCTTGGTTATGTGTTGTGTATCAGATAAAGATTAGAGAGAAGTCATTACTGAGAGTAGCAGAAATATGTTTTATCTTGTTCTCTTCGTGGTAAAACATTTCCCAACTCCTCCAGTTCTTCTTTTATGCTCTAGTCTAGACTGGTTCTGGTCTACATGTTGAGAACCACTCGGTTAATCCATGAATACATTTTAAAGTAACAATCATTGAAAGATCTAGCTAGATTTAAATAACACTTCCTTTTATGGGTCACTTGTGTTTTGGAAGTTACATGCATTCTTGCTTTCTTTTTTCTTAATTCACAGTTTTCTTCTTTTCAATTAGAAGTTTCTGTAGAAAACATCTTCCATCCTCTGCCATGTCTCCGAGGAGAAATGTTTCTGAAGAGAGAGAAGAAGGTGGTCCAGGTTCAGGAACAGGTTCTCAAAGAATATCTTCGTAAGTATAATATTAAAAAATTTGGAGCATACAGTACCACAAAAGCTAAAAAAACTAACAAGGTTCAGTAAGGTCCTCTGGACGGATTCAGAAGAATTCATCCAGAGGATTTGACTCAACCTTGTTGGATTCATTCATCTACCTGGATTACTGAGCATGCATCAGGATAAACAAAAGAACATTTGAATCGATCTTCCTGCAGATGATCAATAATTGTCAATTCTAATTTTGACCAATTTCAATTTCACCTTTGAAAACTACAATTAACAAGTGTTGGATGAAAAGCAGATTTGACTTTCCGTCATTGAAACCTATAAACGATCATCCAAGTTGTTGGGTAAAAATATTAGTATAATTTCAATATCAAAAATATTGTGATTACCCGTTCGTTATAAATCTTTTTCTTTTGCAAACATAAAATTAGACCACATCTCAAGAAAAATGTATTTCCTTAAAATATCTAAACTTAAGTTAAATTTCAGCAGTGTTGCACCTGATATTTGGACAGAAAAAAAATGTAATGTTTTACATATAACTACTATTCTCTGAAAGAGTGGAACGAGGTACAACACATGAAGTGTGAGATATCACTCCCCTGCCTGTCCTTGCTGAAGACACCTCTCATGCCTTTAGGCAAATGACGTGATGACAACAAGTGACGGGCCCCGCCTGCACTATATTATATACCTGTCCATCGTCACCGTCATTCCTTAGTTCGACAGCTGCTCTTCACTGGGCTCAGCTGTGCTGCAGGCCAGTCATGTGTTGTTACTTGTTCCTCTCCTTCAGGGAACAGTAGTCACAGTATATGCCACCTTAGTCTCAGCAGAAGCAACAGTGTGTGCCACAGAAGGGGCTGTCCCACCCAAGCAATAAAACTAAACAAATGTGTGTGATGAAGACTTTCTGGCTGCAGCACAGATGTCACGGGCACCCCTCTAATTATGGCCCAGGATGCTTTGCCTATATGAAGTAGGACAGTATTTCTGTGTACTCACTCTGGATTTATATGCTTTGTCACTCTACGGTAGATTGCTGTGAGTGAAGACTTCGGTGCACAGTTGTTTTTTCAAAGTGGCCTGAATGACTTCTTTCTGGTCCTGTTTTGAGTTTAAATGAAGTGTTTTGGATCCAGGTAATTTTCAATGAAGCGTGCTGTGCTATGTATGTTCTAACTTTCTGCTGTGCTAATGGTTGCAAGGAAATAGCTTTTAGTTTTTCATGTCTCTCGTGTCTCAAAATCTGCTGCAGCACCTTCTATGACCTGTTTTTATTAGTGCCACACTATCGTCCTTTTGTTGTTGCAGTATGTCCAATTTAACAGGTCTCTCTTGTAAATGAGCCTCCAAGACTCAATGGGAACTAACTTGTATAAATAAATATCTAATAATAATTTATCCTCCAAGCTAAATTGGTCTTTAATTTGGCAAAGTTAAAGTGAGAAAGGTTCGCCCTTTTGGGTGCCATCCAACAAGAGGGTGATCATATCTTCCTGTTCCTGAAGTCCCTGCGTTGCCAGTCCCATGCTAGGAGGACTGTGTCTTCTTCTGAGATATTGAGATTTTCTAAAGACTCGAAGGTGGGCCCTTCGACTGGTCTACTTGTGCAAAGGACTGGTTTTGAGAACAAAGGGATACTCAAAACCAGCCCTTCGTGGGCAGACAGGCTAATCAGCAGTGACTTAACACCAACAAAAGCAGCTAGTTCTGAGCAGCCTGTGCAAGACAGCGCTAACTAGAAGTAGCTAATTCACCGGAGTCAAAGATGTGTTCTTAACAAGGTGAAGAGCTTCATAACTGATTGACTGTGAAGACAGAGGGATATAAAGTGTAGGTGAAGCATGCGCTATAGGCATTTGCATATCTAAAGGCATGATTAGAGGTGTCTTTAGCCATGACATGCAAGGTGGGATATCCCATACTTCATGTGTTGTACAGAGTTCAGTCCAACTTGGATTGAACATCTCTGTGTTAGATCGATTAATCTTTCACATACTTAAGTGAATGATTGTAAATTACAACTTGATGACCCCAAAAAATCTAATAATTATGTATTTACATCTGTTTATTCTCCTTACAAGGTATATAGTAGGGTTTACAAAAATTTTAATTGAATGTGCCACTTATTTAAGTGAAAGCTGGTACTTTAAATGAAAATCTCAAACAAAAACAGCAGATATACATCTGAATAGAATTGTTTTGCTTTTAGTAGCGTCATATATAGCTCTTGTGCTTTTCATATTAAATGCCTAATAGATTTTACAAATGGTTAGCTTGACTCTTTCACAAATGTCCACAGTGAAGATGTCCTTTAGCAAATTAACTATGGTGAGTCCACAAATCGAAAAACTTGGGATCATAAAGTTAAGTGACATGCTTTTTGTGTCAGGTTGTCCATTCACCATTGAAGCTAGTCAAGCTAGGTGGTTTGCATGTTTATTAGTAACAAACTCTAAATGTTTGTATTATTATATTACAGCCAGATGAGAAATTATCTCAAGTTAGTGGTTCAATGCAATTGGTGCAATTAGTGTATACAATTTGTCGTTAAAGACTTTAAAGTTGTCATGGTGGAGACCACTCCCAAGTTTGTACCAAATCTCAGCTTTCTCCAGTCGCATTGTTTCATAGACTCATAATTTTTACTTGGTGGGCAAAAATACTGGCACATGGTGTGGAGCTGGATTAAAGGAAGTAGTGTAAAAATCTTTATAATTTAAGGGGAAAAGTGGGTCTATTCTTTGAAAAGACCTTTGAGCCGAGTGTAACATCCTGACAGACTTGAGCCTTAATGAAATTCATTGTAATTTATTCAGACTTGACATTAAATTGTGAAATGGTATGTCTGTGAACATTGCAGTAATTTAGAAGTGCTATTCAAAGTTATTTTGACTTTTGTGAACTATGTGTGTGTGCGTGCACACAGTCTTTGTCTTTTTTATATTGTGCATTGTCATTGTATCTGTATGTGTGTGATCAGTGTACAAGCTGAAACATGTGTGTCAAGAACTTTATTTTTCATTCTCTTTCTATTTTCCTGGATTTTTCTTAGCCACAAAAAAGAGCCCAGATTCACATACCGGTACAATAACGCATCTCACAACTTAACAAGTTAGAGTGTCCAACAAAGTTCAGTCAGGTCCTCTGGGCGGTTTCTTTGTGTTGATTCGTCTTTCATCCAAAACACTTCATCAGTCTGAGGAGCCACAACAAACTCGGTATATAAGTAGCACACTCGCATAGTGGGTCAACCAGTTCGATGGTGATAAGATGGTTTCTGGAGTCTGCTCTCTCCCCCATCGACTCCTCTGAGGCAGCCATGGCTGAAGTAGTTCAAAACATCAAAGTTCAATAATCCAGGTAAAAAATCCAACAAATATTGCACCATCAAACTGGTTGGCCCACGATATGAGCGTGCTATTTATAAGACTGAGTTCATTGTGGCTCCTCAGACTGGTGAAGTGTTTTGGATGAAAGAAGAAACTTTTCAACACAAAGAAACCGTCCAGATGACCCGACTAAACTTTGATGGATTTATTTACCTGGAATATTGAGCACGAACTTTGATGTTAAAGTGTCTTTAAAACATTAAATTATTTAACATCAAGCATTTAAGTCCTCATTTAAAAAATAGAAGAAAAAACTTTTTTATTTTTATTTTTTTACACTTTTTAATGGAAGCTTAGTAAAAAAAAAAAAAAAAAAACACACCTTTTATAATAAGCAATAATAAATCCCAGTCTCTTTGTGTAACCAGGACAGAAAGAAGAACCTCCAGCCTCAAATTCAGTACCCATCATTGACTTGAAAGCCGTACTGAGTCTTGCCAGAGAGCAGTTTCTGAAGATCTTTGATTCCACTCTTTCTCCTGCTGCTTCCTGTCTAACAAATGAGCCAGCGCCGAAACACTCAGGTATGAACTATGAAATAGACAAAAATAATCCACTTTTTCACAGTTTGGACTGTCGTATGGTGATCGTGAGTAAAGAATAACTTATAATAATATAATTTGAAAATGAATTATTGGTAGTAAAACAAATTGTGGCTAGGGTAGTCATAAAATAATATTGGGCTAAATAGACTAGATTGTACTGGATTTTTAATATCATAAATGCTATGACATTATTTGGAACCGTTTGGATTGTCTCTTCGTGTTTATAGTATTTATTTTTGTTAATTGAAGCCTTCACTCATCATGTGGAGCAACATTAGCATAAATTGTCATAAGGTTAGACTTTTAACAGTACCATTTACCATTACCATTTTTTACATGACATTTACATAGATTTGTGTTTTCTAGACCTTCCACCAAAGAAATACTTAACAGTACTGATAAGGTACTGAACAGATGTACAGACATGCAGTCTGAAGTGCAAATCAGGTTATTTAACTAAAGCCCTTTCTTGCCCTCTGTACTACATTAGCTATGTATTTTGCATTTCTGTGTGTACGTTCTCCAAAACTGTGACTTTGTGTGGGCTGACAAAGCTATGGCAGGGAGCGTCATTTTCATACAAGGAATATTTGGTCCTCAGCCCATTAATCTGCACATCTCATCCGTTGTATCCAGACAAGTATTTCTGTCCTAGTTCATGTAAAAGTACAATCTTCCGAATATCCAAGCACAAGAAAAGTGCAGAGTTGGTGATATTGTGGATGCACAAAATTAATTAATTCATTGAGGCTCTTTCTGCCGTGTTCAGTGTTGACCAGCAGATTACTCTGCCATCCATCAAGCAGCTCTTGGTGCTTGTATCACGCAGCTCACAGAAAGTGGGAGTCATACAGTGACTTTGTTTAAGATGCAACAGCTTTCGCTGTTGGAAATGAAATTAATGATCTGTGACCGGTTTTCTTCATATCTAATGTATGATGCTACGACGGAGCTTTAGGGCCATGCTAAGAAAAAAAAAACATAATGAAAAAAAAGTATAAAATTACGAGAATAAAGTCATAATATTACGAGAATAAACTTGTAATATGTCCGGGGTCTGCTCGAACGTGCTGTGGACAGCCTTCAATGTGAGTCACTGTGTTTATGAAGTAGTCCGCAATCACTTTTGTTTCACTGTTTGTGAAATATGCCTCCATCCACATTATGTCACAACTAAATCTGTCAATGCAGCCATTAATTGCAATGCCATACGGCTTCAGTTTATCATAAGAATCCATAACGCCACAGTGCGTTGGGCCCCTGCTATTCTACTGCTGACGTCAACATTCATCATTTTACCGCAGTTGTAAGGCTGCTTTTTTGTGTCAGAGTTCTGATAATATTACAACTTTATTCTCATAATATTCAAAGTTCATCAGGGACTCTACTTCCTCAGGCGGCTGAGGCGAGCAGGTTTGGGAAGCTCAGTCCTCACCTCCTTCTACAGGTGTGCAGTGCAGAGCATCCTGTGCTCCAGCATCAACATGTGGCATGGAGGCTGCACAGCTGCAGAAAGAAAAGCTTTGCAGAGAGTGGTGAAGGCTGCACAGAAGACTGTTGGAGTCAGTCTCCTCACCATCACAGACATTACACCTCCAGATGCAGGAATAGTGCCACCTGCATCATGAAAGACCCCACTCACCCAGCATACACACTTTTTGCCCCGTTCCTCTCAGGCAGGAGGTTGAGGAGCATTAAGTGTAGAACCATTAGACTGAGGAACAGCTTCTACCCTGAGGCTGTTAGACTCATGAATCTATAACCAGGATAATCACTGTGGGGGGAAAAAAAATCACTGTAATGCCACTTTGATTGTTGATATGTGCTGCTGACCATCCACGCTGCTGATCGATTTCATGCTGCTGATCTATTTCATGTTACTGTGTTCATTCAGACTCGTCTGCTCACACAGAACCATGTTCATGCTGCTGTTGTTCGGCATATTGTTTTTGTACTAGTAGTACTTAGCATATTCTTAGTTTAGTGTATTTCTTAGTTCATATCTTATATCTTATTACTGTTTTTCTTTACAATTTATACTTTTGTTGGATGTAACTGGGACCCTGTGTACACAATTTTGTTCCACCACATGTATCACCACATGTATCAAATGTGGTGCAAATGACAATAAAGAAACTTTGACTTTGATAATATTATGACTTTATTCTCGTAATACTACACATTTATTCTCATAATATTATGACTTTATTCTCGTTGTACTGTAATTTTTTTATTAGCATGGCCCTAAAGCTCTGTCATAATGATGCCACCTGTATAAAGGCTTGATTTTCTTTCTGGGAGTAGCAACTTTACTCCCCATAAGAAGCTATAAATGCTCATCCATCAGTGTTTGCAAATGATAGATTGTTTTTCTCTCCAGTCAGCTCCTCTGGGCTTAATCAGTCATTGGAAACATCATAGTAAATCATCTGAGGTTAAGGTTTATCAGAAGATCGGACAAGCCTGCAGGAGCCTGCCCATTCAGGGTCTGGAGGTGTTCAATAAAACCTTCAAGTCACTTCTAAAATAAACTGAGAGCCACAGAAGAGAAGACAGAACTTAGACATTACGTTCATTCTTTTTTATCCTCGTTAAAATAATAAATAATATATGTTGGGAAAATATTTTTTGGACAACCTGTTTGGATCAAATGTTTAATACTGATCCAAGTTATGAACTAACAGTGTAAAGTAGGAGTTAGGACTAAAGTGTATTTCTGCTATTTCAATACAGCTTCAATATCAATAAGTGGTTAATATCAAAGTTATTATTTTTATTTTTACACTTCTGTCACATTCATTATTTTCAGTAGATTTTATGGTTTGTTACGCTGAACACAATTAGGTTATTATACGTTACTGGTAATCGTGTTGCAAAATAAAATATTTTAAGTCTACGAGGCAAACTAGCTAAACGTTGGAAATGTGAGGCAGTAAGAAAAGGAATAAAACTAGGATTAATTGAATTGCAGTGATAATTTTTTTTCCTGGACTACTACATTTTAATCTTACAGGTTGCACTTAAAATGTTTAGCTTTGCAACTTATTTCACACGGACCATTACTGGTGACAGATCACAGTTTACTTTTCATCAGTATAAATAACCATCTGATGCAAGAGCGATGGAGGTCTAAAGATTAAAACCAAATTGTCTCAAGTGCTAAAGCTAATAAAAATTGCCTCAGCATGAACCACAATAAAATGTTAGAAATCAGATTAATGCCACTTTGCCATTGCTAGGTGCAGCTCCACTCGGCTCTGTTCTTCTCAGGTGACGCCACTACAGTGGAGGCCGACCTGTTTCCCTGCTCTGTGGGCAGGATTGTAACTGGTCTTTTTGCATTCAAGCAGCTCAGCCCGTTGTGGTCCTTGATCTCCCTGTAATCTGACTTGAATTTCGTTAGAGTATCTCGACACTGCTTATAAGTCCAGGTGTAGCCATGCTGCACCATCATCTTCAATATGCAAGAGTGATGGAGGTCTCAAGATAAAAATAATATTCTCAAGTGCTCGAGTTTTATGTGATTCTGTAAAGCACTTTGGTCTACTCTGGTGTTTAAAGTGTTTGATAAATAAAGTTGGATTGGATTGGATTGGATATCGGTTAATCTCATTTCTTGTGACGCTGTCCATCAACACCATGAGGAAGTGGAGGTTCAGATGTAGTTTGCCGTTTTACTAGACGGGTCATGCAGTGACGTAGGCCTGCTGGCCAATCAACAGCTGCTGCCTGCTTACTTCAAAATCAGCACCTCGGAGCAGTCCGCTTGGAACCTTGAACAAGGTGGTCCCATAAACCAGGCTGAGTGGGGGTGGGTACCGGCTGTGGGCAGACCCTTAACTGGTGCGGTGTCGTGTGGAGCTGAGGAGAGTTGAGACAGTGGCAAAGACGCCATTAGACAGCAGAAATTTACTTTGGTCTTGATCTATCTCAGACTAATTGTTAACTCCTCTCCTCTAAAAACTGATGATGCTTTATTTTATTATGCTTCATGAAAGACACTAACTACTAATCAAAGCTCCACAGAACATCACTTGTGAAAGTTTAACTTTTTTCTTTCGGCTGTTCCCTTCTTCAGATAATTCAACTATTATTTAAATATCTAAATAAAGCCTGTTATGCAAAAGTATAAAGTCTAAACCAGAGCTATTAAACTAAACTGCTCGGGGGGGGGGCACAGTTTCTGAAAGCCAGCAGCTCAGGGGCTGGACATCCAGCGATTAAAATCATTTTGTAAATGAACCAAGTTTTACAATGATCTGTTACCTTTTATTTTTTTTATTGCATTGGATCATAACTGCAATAAACAGACACCCCCCCCCCCC